GAACTTCCCAATCAGATGAGCATGAATGATTGGCCAGAAATGAAGAAGAAGTTTGGAGATGTATTTGCAAAGAAGACAAAGGCAGAGTGGTGTCAAATCTTTGACGGCACAGATGCCTGTGTGACTCCGGTTCTGACTTTTGAGGAGGTTGTCAGTCATGATCACAACAAGGAACGGGGCTCATTTATCACCAATGAGGAGCAGGACGTGAGCCCCCGCCCTGCACCTCGGCTGTCAGACACTCCAGCTGTCCCTTCTTTCAAAAGGGATCCTTTTGTAGGAGAACACACTGAGGAGATACTTAAAGAATTTGGATTCAGTCTTGAAGAGATTGATCAGCTCACCTCAGATAAAATCATTGAAAGTCATAAGGCAAAAGCTAGTCTCTAATTTCCAGGCCCACAGCTCATGTGAATTTGAATACTACATTTGCAGTGTAGCTTAACACATAACATTGTGTGCATGGAAACGTGGAGGAACAGTATTGCAGTGTCCTACCATTCTAATCACCAAAAAAACCACAGACTCTGATTCTACAGTGATGATTGAATTCTGAAAATGGTTATCATTAGGGCTTTTGAGTTAGAAATCCTTTGGGTACTTATACTAAATTATGATAGTTATTCTGCCTTCCAGTTTGCTTGATATATTTGTTGATATTAAGATACTTGTGTACTTATATTTTGAATGAATTAATATAATATAATTTATTAAAGAAAGCTTTCTTTTTCCCTAAAGTGTACTTGTGCTTTTAAGTTTGCACAAAGCTTTTAAGAAAACCCTTTAAATACCATTTAAATCGCATTTTGTGATTCCTTGAAATCTTTTTTGCTTGTTTACCAGAGTGAATGTTCTTAGATGAAGAAGTCTGACCATTTTAATTTGGTTGAAGAAGTTTGACCATTTAATTTGACTGGAAATCACTCAGTGTGTCTTTGAATGGGAATGTTGCCAGATGTTCTCCAGGCTTCCGGCAGATTACTCCCACCCCTCCATCTGGTCCTCTCTGCTGGGAGCCAGGCTTCTCTGTGCAGCTGCCTGTTAGTCTCACTGACATGCCTCTTTTTCTCACATTGTGCCGTCGTTTGAGTTCTGCCAGGCAAGTCTTCCTCTCTCACCAGCCTCCTGCTTCCATTCCCACCATGCCTCCCTCTGCCCTCATAGGCCCTGAGCTTATCCTCACTTCATTGAGGCCACTGCGCAGTTCCCCTGCTGTGGAGAGTCCTTTCCTAGCCTCTGTCTAAAATAGCAGCCACCTTGTCACTTGTTATCCCTTCACCCCATCTTGTTTTTCTTTGTACCATATATCACTACTGACATATTTGCTTATTAACCCCACCTGCCCCCCTAGCCCGCCAACACACACTAGAATGGAAGCTTTATGAGGGATTTCGTATGTTTGATTCATTGTAAAAGCCCTAGTTGCTAGAATAGTGTCAAGCAAATAGCAGAAACTTAGTAAATATTTATTAAATGAATATATCTCAAGAGTGAAGTGCTGTCAATTCTGCCTCAACAACACTTGAATCCATGCCCTCTGCCTATCCCCCATTGCAGTTTTCATTCAGGCCCCTCTTATCTCTTCCCAAGACTCCAGTTCAGTTGCCCTATCAGCCTTGACCTCTAGTATCGTTGCCTTATTAATATTTTTTATCACGTTACTCCTCTGGGTGTTTTTGACACCACACTGAATTTTCAGTCCTGCAAAAATCTTGTGTTGTTCTTTTCTCCTGCAGTAGAATATAAACTCATTTACGTAACATATCAACACTTTACTTACAATAAGACTTCTAGCTAGCTGTCCAGACCCATCCCTGTCTTCCTGTTCCCCAGGACTTACATTGGACTACCTGAAATTTCTATGTCATGGTCTCTCTTGTTTCCATTTCTTTCTTTCTGTATACTGCATCGTTATTTTCCAGGATTATCAAGACCCCTTTTGCTCCAGCCTGTTGATCTAGCAAACTCAGACTGGGCTGGAACACAGCCTTCTTCATGAAACCTCCTATGCTTCTCAACCCTAGAGTAGTTTTGTACAGTGATTATGAGTTGTGGAATCAGAAGGGCCTTGGGTTCACGCCTCACTCTGTCATTGCGATGTCTAAGACAATGCCTGTGAAGGGCCTAAACATCCTAGGTGAACAGTATTAGCTCCTATTCCTAAGCCCCTTCCTATGTTTCCACTGCACTTCGTACACATCTATAAGGACAGTAATTGCCTTTACTGTACTTTACAAAATTATTCACTAGGACATATGTTCCCAGAGTAATGGTTCTAGCAAGCAAAATAATTACTTGGAGATACTGTTAAAACAGATTCCTGAGCCCCACCCCCAAAGATTCTAAGACCCAGAATGTGCCACCAAGCTTCCAGGTGATTATGATTCTGGTTCAATGACTGCACTTTGAGTAGCACTGTCCTAAGGGATATGAACCAAATCGTTTTACCTCGGTTATTGTTATAATAGGTGCTCAAAAGAATACCTGTTGAATGGACCAGTGAGAGAAAGGATAAAAGCAAGTTGGCAAAATCTGTAAATAAACAGGCTAGAGTATTGATTTCTGTAATTAGTTGACTTTACACAAAATGTTCAAATGAAAAATTGTTTTTTGTAGGTTATGAACTTTTAAAGAGTGAATATATAAAAGCAAGGTTAGTAGCTTTTGTTAGTGACCCAAACTTTCCTTTTTTTCTGAAGAGTCTAAGACCCTGTGCAAAAAATGTTACACCTCTGTGTTTTCAGTTAACTTTTGACAAACTAGATTTAGAAATAAGTAAGGGGGACAGGCAAGGAGAAAACAGAAAAATATTTTTTGTTTTTGTTTTGTTTTTGTTTTTTTTTGAGACAGAGTCTCCTCCTGTCGCCCAGACTAGAATGCAGTGGCACGATCTTGGCTCACTGCAACCTCTGCCTCCCACATTCAAGCAATTCTCCTGCCTCAGCTTCCCAAGTAGCTGGGACTACAGATGCCTGCCGCCACATCTGGCTAATTTTTTGTATTTTTAATAGAGACAGGGTTTCACCGTGTTAGCCAGGATGGCCTCCATCTCCTGAACTCATTATTTGCCCACCTCGGCCTCCCAAAGTGCTGGGATTACAGGTGTGAGCCACTGCACCTGGCTGAAAATAGGAAGTTTTAAGGAGAGTGGAAGATAAGCGGGCAATTGAAGATAGCAAATTCTGGTGAAAGAGGAATTATATATTCTTGAAGACATTGATATACATTTATTTACACTCTTGACTCTGCAATGTAGGAAGTATGAAATGCCACAAACTATGGTGATAAATAAGTCACATGAAACAGGGTGATTGGTTGCATCCAGGCTTTTTGTCGGGGTTCATGTTCTCCCTCTAAGCACATTCCAAACTTTAGCAACAATGACATCACACTTTGTAATTTACAAAATACTTTCACCTGCATCGAATCGGAATGCCTTCATCTGCAAATAACAATATCCAAAATAATAAGGAAGTGTTTTGGCTCACTCTCTAGAGTCCAGAGGGACAGTGACTTTTAGGGTTTCCTGTATCCAGTCACTTGAGCTCTGTTTCCCTGCAGTTCTCTGGGCTGCAACTTTCCATTCTCTGTGTGTTTGATTTCTCCTCAGGCTCGTAGCAAGTTCTGCATCTTAATGCCCACACACAGCGATACCCAGACATAAAGATCTCAGGAGCCCCTAGCAAACTGTCTTGCGTCTCCTTGGACTGAGTTAAGTTACAAGCCATTCTTAAACCAGTCTTTGACAAAGAAGACAGGATTATCTTTACATAAAACCAGACTGCTCCTGAAGCTTCCCTGGACTCAGCTTCCCAAAGGCATGTAAGGAAGTGGTGGATTCCACAATCTAATCCAGGTGCCATCAGAGCAGTGGAAGTAGAAAATGGATGTTAGGTGGGTCATCAATAAGGTTCATTATGTACGGTATCTCAGCTGTCCTTCAACAATCAATTGTAAGGGGAAGGTGGGGCAGGCTTCTTCCTTTTACTGATGAGAAAACAAAGACTCAAGAGGGATTCTTAGTTCATTTTTCCCTTAGTGCCTCAGTAATTTTTTCATGGTGGCTTAGACCAAAAGAAATATCTAACCAATTTATAAATAATTAGGTCCAAACGAATTAAATATTTATGTCCTAACAACTTATTAGCTGTTTGAAAAATAGAATACATATAAATAAAAAGAAAATGTATTTTTCATTTCTGTGTTATTGTTAACTACTTAGTAAGAAGATGTATGCACCTGTTTCACATTGTGCAGCTTCTCAGCTGGAATCAGATTGAACACTGCTGTCGTCATTTTCTGCTCCATGTTGATGTCCATATAGTACTTGCTTTTTTATCAGACTGACTGGAAAGCCCAGCCTCACAAAAATATGAAATCCCAAGGATTATAGTGCAATCTTATGTTGAAAGCATGAACTACCTCACTAGTAGTTCATGTGATGTCTGACAGATGTTGACTTTCAATGTGTTTACTGTGTTCAAATTTTTAAATATCCTGAAATACTCTTGTGAGGTCACTCTAATGCCCTGGGTGCCTTGGTATAGTTTTAGAAACACTAGTTAAAATTATTTGCTCATGAATATGCAACTAGGAAGAGGCAGAATCAGTGTCTGGTAGAGGACTTTTGGCCCCGTTCCCCAGCCATGTGGAAAGGGCCTAATTCCCGAAAAGGAAGGCCCTTCCTCCCCCACAGGGAGGGTCCCTTATCTCACTCTATCCTGGCCGGACCCAAGACCAGCAACCTTCCCACCCAGCGGCCCACTGAACCAATCACCATCCGCCCCACCACCTCTCCCGTAACCTCCCGTCCCACAAGCTCCCGCCCGGCAGGCTTCCTGCCCAGCAATCAACCTAGCCAATTACTACCTGCCAGGTCAGCTCTCCTACTGCCCCAGGCCCTCTGTCCCTATAAAGTCAACGGAACAAAGAAAGCGCGCGCGATTCTTCCCTTCCCGCTTGAGTCGCCCGGAGATCCCAATAAAGTCGGTACGGTCACCATGCGTCCTGCCTCGAGTCAAGAGTGCCTGCCTCCGTGGGTCGGGGTCCCACAGCCGGGGTCGCACAATCAGAATTTAAGCTTTCATATTATGGCCTTCAGTTTTGCTCTTCAGTGATTTGTAGGAACCTTCCCATAAGGTTATGTTTTCCAGCCCAGGCATGGAGGATCACTTGAGACCAAGGGTTCAAGACCAGCCTGGGGAACACAGCTGGACCTCCATTTCTACAAAAAAAAAAAGTAAAAAAAAAAAATTAGCAAGGCATGGTGTTGTGCGCCTGTAGTCCTAGCTACTCAGAAGGGTGGGCAGGAGGATCACTTGAGCCCAGGAGTTTGAAGCCACAGTGAATTAGGATTGAGCCACTGTACTCTAGCCTGGGCAACAGAACAAGTCCTTGCCTGTAAATAAATATATATAAAAAAGATTGTGTTTCCTACAACTCAGAATTTTCATTTGAACTCAAGGTCCAGCAAGGAAAATATAACTCATTTAAAGTCTTTAAAAACAGAGGAAATTTAATATAAAGAATTCCACTGGTGATGAAAGAGTAGAGAAACCCAGGAGATAGTGAGGCAACCCAGATATGAACAAAACTAGAAGCCAGGGCCACTCCTATGGCTACGGGGGTGATGGGAAAGTTGGTGTTACCTGGATCCAGAAGCCAAAGTTGCTGGACCCACCTTGGAGACACAGACGCTGCCAGCAATCTCTCAGGGAGGAGAAAGAAATCTAGGGAAATATTCCTGGCTTCTTTCCTTCTCTCTCACCCCTAGTCTTCCTACCAGTGCCTCCTATTAGCCAAATCTACCTAGAAGCCAGAAAAAAAGGGAATCCTGGAAATGTAGCTGCATAAGATAAAGAGTACCAAAGGAAATAGAGCTGAGCAGACAGGCAGCTGACTGGCAGCACAAAATGTAGTGTATATGTTTTGTTCACTCAGTAATTCCTTTAGCAAATATTTATTGAAGACCTACTATGTGCCAGGTGTCATGATAGGTGCTGGGGATACCATAATGAACAAAACAGACCTGTTCTCTGCTCTTAAATAAGTCAAAGACAAACACAGGACATTGAATAAACCCAGAATTATCTCGTTGTAAAATGTATTAAGTGCAAGAAGGAAAAATAATCAGGGCGATATGACACAGCTAATGATTTGGGAAAGGGTGTGACCTGCCACCATTTTAAATCTAGTTATTTCACCCCTGAGCTGTGTGTGTAGAAAACTTGTTGTCAGGAAAAGATAGAATGTCTATATCTATAAAAAGAAGGTTACCAAAAGATATCAATTTATATTTTGACATAACCTCTATGTAATGAGGCTTGATTACCTCACAGCCATGTGTGATCATGTAAAATAGCATGTGTGTTTGAGAGAAGCCATGTGTGATCATGTGTAATAGCATCTGTGTGAGAGAGAAGCCGTGTGTGATCATGTGTAATACTGTGTGTGAAAGAGAAGCAATGTGTGTGATCATGTGTAATAGCATCTGTGTGAGAGAAGCCGTGTGTGATCATGTGTAATAGTGTGTGTGAAAGAGAAGCAATGTGTGTGATCATGTGTAATAGCATCTGTGTGAGAGAGAAGCCATGTGTGATCATGTGTAATACCAAATGTGTGAGAGAAACCATGCGTGAGCATGTGAAATAACGTATGAGAGAGAAGCCATGTGTGTGATCATGTATAATAACATGTGTGTGAGAGAACAGTCATGCATGTGATCATATGTAATGTGTATGAGAGAGAAGCTGTGTGTGATCATGTGAAATAACGTGTGTGAGAAGCCATGTGTGATCATGTGTAATGTGTGTGAGAGAGAAGCCATGTGTGATCATGTGAAATAACGTGAGAGAGAAGCTATGTGTGTGATCATGTGTAACAGTGTGTGTGAGAGAGAAGGGCCATGTGTGTGATCATGTGTACTAATGTGTGAGAGACAGAAGCTATGTGTGTGGCCATGTATAATATCATGTATGTGAGATAGAAGAGCTGTGTGTGATCATGTGTAATAGTGTGTGAAAGAGAAGCTGTGTGTAATCATGTGAAATAATGTGTGTGTGAAAGAGAAGCTGTGTGTGATCATGTGAATTAATGTGTGTGAGAGAGAAGCCACGTGTGTAATGATGTGAAATAACATGTGTGAGAGAAGCCATGTGTGAATGTGTATAACATGTGTGTGAGAAGCTGCATGTGTAGTCAGTGTGATAGTGTGTGTGAGAGAAAATTCATGTGTGTGATCATGTATGATAGTGTGTGTGACAGAAAAAAGTCATGTGTGTGATCATGTGTGATAGTGCATGTGAGGGAAGCCATGTGTGTATGTGAAATAACATGTGTGAGACAGAATCCATGTGTGCGCATGTGTAATAATGTATGAGGAGAAGCTATGTGTGTACTGTGTGAGAGACAGAAGCCATGTGTGTGATCATGTGTAATAGCATCTGTGTGAGTTAGAGGAGCTGTGT